GGGGGACGGGACTGGGAGGGTCCACCCAAGCCCTTCCCAGGGTGGGACCTTTGCCCCCAGCCACCTGGGGTCAGGCGCACTCACCGCAGCCAGCGAGGAAGAGGAGGTCCCCAGAGAAGAGGCAGGGGGGGCATCCAGCACGTACACCATATGGCCCACGGTGTGGCCGGGCGTGGCGAGCGCCTCGAAGGTCAGACAGCCCATGCTCACCTTCTCCCTGTCCGCAAGTGGGCTGCGCCGGGCACAGGGGTGCACCATCAAGGGTGCCCCTCCCCCCCAGCACCTCAAAACACCCACCTCCCCACACAACCTTTCCCCAGTGCACTAGTGTCATGAGCATGCCAGGCCTCTGCCCATGCAGAGAGCAACGTGGTACTTGGGGGATGGACTGGTGGGTGGGTGGAGCAGACAGCGGTAGTTGTGGGGTGAAATGCCCTCCCAAATTTACAGAGGTGCTGGGGGGCATGTGGGGCGCAGGACCTACTTGGTGAGCTCTGGGATGGCATCGAGGGCGCTGCCGTACACCTTGCAGGAGCCGTGCTGCTGACGGAGCGCCGCGTTCCCCCCGCTGTGGTCCCTGCGAACAGGGAGGTCAGCGCCCCTAAATGTGTGTGTGTGTCCCCACATATCCCATCCCCCCTCTCCATGGGGTAGGGCTGGGGGGTCACCTCAGGTGGGGCATCCTCCATGGCAGCCACTCTTGCCCCTTACCAGTGTTTGTGGGTGCAGAATATGGCCTCCAGTGTCACCCCCTCTTCTTCAATAGCAGCCTAGGAATGGGGGTGGGGGGGCAGACAGAGAGATTATGTGTGTGTGTGTCCCCACATATCCCATCCCCCCTCTCCATGGGGTAGGGCTGGGGGGTCACCTCAGGTGGGGCATCCTCCATGGCAGCCACTCTTGCCCCTTACCAGTGTTTGTGGGTGCAGAATATGGCCTCCAGTGTCACCCCCTCTTCTTCAATAGCAGCCTAGGAATGGGGGTGGGGGGGCAGACAGAGAGATTTGAGGGTGACACAGACCCCGAGTACCAGTCT